ATGATTGGCAATAGGATATTGAGTACATGACCTAACCCCCTTTCTATTACCAATGGAAACATCAAGATCTGAAAACTCAGGAATAGAAGCATTAGAATTACCTGGACTCTCAGCAGAGGGGGTTGACTTTGGACACTCATCTAGAGAAGAAGTTGGCAGTAGGGGGAAGGAAGTAGTCTCTTGCATCCAGGTGACTTTCTATCTATCCTTGTCTATGGCATAAACTTTGTCTGTTTCCTTTTCCACAACAACAACGGGCTCATCATGCTCTATCTGTTCAACCACTGGCGGTAATGGAACAAGAATCTCTGCACATCAAGGTTTCCCCTGAAGGGATGACTGTGACACGGGGAAGGGTAGAAAGTAAGACTAAGGCCTCGTTTGGGAACAGGCTATTTTAGTAACTTTTTGACTTTTTACGAAAAGATGTGCAGAAAAGTAGAGAGGTGATGTGACTAGTTTTAGTTGGCTTTTTGGCTAAAATAGTCAGTCCCCAAACGAGGCCTAAGACTCAAAGAAGGTGATATCTATGGAGACAAACCATTTGTGAGTGGGAGGATGATAACACTTATAATCCTTTTGAGTGATAGAATAACTCACAAAGGGGGTGTTTGGTGTGGTTTATTGCAAGCTAAAAGCTAATAATCAAAAAGCTGTAAACAAAAGCACCCCTTCTCCAACTTCTAAATAATCAGTTTTTCTCAGCTTATTTAACCTATTTTTGCCTAAAAAGCTGTTAAGCAGAAGCTGCACCAAACAGTCTAGCACAGATTCTCAAATTAAAACAAGCTGTAATCACCCCCTATAATCTACACCAAACACCCCCAAAATACACTTAAGAGACCGAGGATCCAATTTACCACGGGAGGGTGAATGATTATGGACAAAACAAACACAGCCAAAGGTCTTAGGGGGAATGGAGAATCCAAAAGAGGTGGACTTGGACAAAACTTGAAGAGGGGTTTGTTTGTGAAGAACTTTGGTAGCAAGACGATTAATCAAATAAGCTGCAGTGAGGACCGCTTGCCCCCAATAGGATCAACGAACACGCATTTCAAAGGATAAACATCGGGCCACATCAAGGAGATGGCGATTTTTTCGTTCGGCAACACCATTTTGTTGAGGAGTATTAGTGCATAAAGTTTGATGAACAATGCCATGAGTGGTGAAATAACTGGCAAGACCAGAGTGAATATATTCCCCTCCCCCCCCATTATCAGAACGCAAAATTTTGACAACCGCTCCAAACTAAGTGCACACCATTTTATGAAAGTTTTGAAATACAGAAAACACTTCACTCTTATCTCTTATAAGATATATCCAAGTGGCCCTAGAATAGTCATCCATGAAAGTAACAAACTATTTTTGACCTTTTAAAGACACAAAACGTAAGGGATCCATACATCAGAATAAATCAAAGCAAAAGGAACTGAACTTTTATCAATAGAAGGAGCAAAAGAAGCTTTGTGTTGTTTTCCAAGTTGGTAGGACTCACACCGAAAATCAGACACCTTATTTTTCTCAAAACCAGAAGGAAGTAAATGCTTTAGTAGAAATGAGGGATATCCTAAATGACGGTGCCACAGCCAAAGGTCTTCCTTGGTGGATGGTAACTGAATAAATGAATGAACCAGCTCTGTCCGTATGATCCAGAATGTAGCGACTATGTTCCGCTCTACTACTGTTAATCCTCTTCTTCGTGATAAGGTCCTGAAAAAGACAATGATCAGGAAAAAAACATCACGCTACAATTCAAGTCATGAGTAATACAACTCAAAGATGAAAGATTAACACTAAAATTGGGAAGAGGTGGCATGAATTAAACCTTTCCCTGACATATACGAAATGGTACCATCAGCGATATGCACTTTTTCTTGACCTGAGGAGGGGTTATATTTTGAGAACAAATGAGATGAACTAGACATATGGTTTGAAGCACCAAAATCAATAATCCATGGCACAGTCGTATGAGATAGCAATGCACATAAGGAGGAAGCCATGTTACCTGAATTGGCAAAGAACGAAAAGGATGCACCTGTGGTGGAAGTGGAGGCTCGACGGTCTAGCAAGTGGTGAAGAGCAATCTCAAAATCTGAGGCAGATAACCCCGAAACATCAACAGCAGGTGAGACAAGTGGAGATGAAGATGGTGGCTCAACTGTGTCTAAAAGATGTGCCCGAGCATTGGCCCCTTGGCCTCTAGATTGACCAAACCGACCCCTTCGAGTACCAGGATGGTCTCCTCGGCCACCAAAAGGAGTCTCATGCAGCTGCCAACAAGTCTCTCTCACGTGTCCAGGTCTACGACAGTAGTCACAAAAAAGATTATCCTTCTCAGAGAAAGGACGAGAATCACGAATCACGAATCACGAATCACACACTCTCCATCGCTAGGGGGTGCAGAAACCAAGGCCGAGCGATTAGTAGTGGTAGAAGGAAGCATAGCAGAGCAATGACTCTCCTCATTCTGCACAAAAACAAAGGCTTCCTGAAGAGAAGAAAGCACGCCCATGCCAAGTATTCTATTCCGAACTGGATCATACTCTACACCAGAGCTTGAAGACTTGCTCTTGTGCCACAAACTTCCAGTGACCAGCAGGATTAGTGGGACAGACAGGCTTGTAATCCTAAAGGTGATCAAGTCGCTTCCACCCATTACTAAGGAAGGTAAAATACTGAAGAATAGTCATCTCACCTTGTACCGACCTTTCAATGGAGTGACGTAACTTGAAAGTTTGGGAGAAGTTCCCCTTCCTAGAGTAAGTAGTAGCTACAGCCTTCTAAATATCCTGGGCAGTGTCCATAGACAAGTAGCTCTCGCTAATCTCGGGTACCATAGAATGTATCAACCAACCCATGATGAGAGAGTTGGTGATCTCCCATTAGTCACAACTTGTCTTCCCTTTGCTCTTCAAAAAAATAGTTAGACTCTGCGACCAGGCTAGATAATTCTAACTATTGAATAGAGAGGTGGTGATTTTTAGGCCAGGGTTGAGGTTATCAATCATAGTAGGAGGTATAATAGAACTCTCGCTCTTAGGTGGCTGAGAAGTAGTGGACTCATTAAGGGAATCTGCCATGGATACTCTTCTATGTAACTCTCAAACACAATGCCAATCCCAAACCTGGAAGATAATAATGGAAGGAAAGACATAACTACTACTATGAAAGCATAAAGAATTAAGAACTCATATAGATTTTTTTGTTTTGTTTTGTTTTGTTTTTGTTTTTTTTTTGAAGAAGAAGACAAAGACGAAGGAGAAGGAGAGAGAGGCAAAGACAGAGACGAAGGAGAAGTAGACAAACAAAAAAGACAAAGGTTGGGTATGAACAACCAGGGGCTCAAGCCATTCGTAGGCACCAGTCGACTACCACAGGAGTGTCGACTGGAAGAGGGGACGACTGAAAGAGGTCTAAGGAGCCTCCAAGAGTGTCGACAGACCTATAGGGACAGACTAGGGCTGCTGATAGACGTAGAGGAGGACAGAGGAGGCTTCGGCTGCCCTGGTATGGAACCGGCTGACCTTCGGCTTAACTGGGTAAGGGCCGAATGGCCAAGAGCTGCCTTTGGGTGGCCTGGATAGGGGTTGGCTGTCCCAGACAGGGGTTTGAGTGGCCTGGGCAGTCCTTCGGTGGAAGCAAGGTGACTGTGATTGGTATTAGGTTCCTCCTATTGTGGCTCTGATACCATATAAGTTTAGAGAAGAGAGAGAGATAGGGAATGTGTGAGACCTCATCCCCTTTTATATTAAGAATAAAGCATAATTACAGGAGTGCCATAAGGCATGAATTATGGGCCAGCTCATTACAGCCCATTACATCAATCAAGGAATACAATTTCTTTATTCTAACATAATTTCCTTATTCTAACTGGGTGTTCAAATTTGTTAGTGAAGCACATCAATAGATAAAAAAAAGTTAAGAATGAACTGAAGAAGAAATGAAATATAAACAAAGCAGAGAACAACAAAATTAAAGTAGGAAAACTAAAGCTAAGTTTCCTCTCTTATCTTGAACTTTCCATTACTGTACATGACATCTGCCTTAAGATATTCACTGTTTTCTGTAGTTGTAGACCACAGCCATGTACATCTATATTTGGGGAGGTGACTGGGGGTGGCACTTACACTCGCAGTCAAGACATTGCATCTTTACACCAGAGTCAATGCTTCTTTTTATTTATTTTTTTATTTTCTTCTTCAAGGCTTTAAGGCATTCTGTGATCTGATTCCAACAACTGACAGCTCCAAATGCTTAAGCTGTTAGAGACTTGTGTAACTATTGGAGTAGGAAATTCTTTTGCTCAAATCTTCTCACGTGTTTGCTAATACATTATTCATTCATGTGGGCGGTCCATTTATGAGTGGCCAGACATGGAGAGTGTAGAAATATATTATAAATGCCTCACTCAAACTTTTTGGCACAGTTGGTGGCCAATACTTTATTTTGGGGAGTTGCTAAACTAGCACTTCATTTTTTAGTCTGCAAATTATAGGCTTCTCCTTCAATATTCCCTTCCTTCATTATGGTTCTTCTTGTCTGGCCATCACTGCCAACCCAAGAATTCTCATTATTTTCCTCTTCTTTTTTTTTTTTTTTCCTAGTAGTATTAATATTAAAAAAAAAAGAACTGTCTGTCAGTTTGGCTTTTCTGTCTTACCTAATGTTAGGAAAGTTTTGCGTGATTTTCTAACACTAAATAAGGAGAAAGAAAATGAGAAAGAGAGGTCGAGGGGCAGTTTTGGTATAAAAAACTAGAAAGTAGAAAGTTCCTGTAGATGCTAGATGGTCACCTCTGTAGTTGTAAGTGGAAGCATCTGTGTGTGTTCGACAGAAAGCAGGGGAGCCATATAATATGAATTTTCTCAGTATTGAATTAAAAACATTTTGATCTGTTTTCAGCATACATAATACATTGTAATTTTTTTACATGAAACAATGTCTTAAACCCTTTTTTATTAACGATATTATAATATGTGGCTCAGTTCCGTGGATCAGAGATGATTGAACTACAAAATTTCCGACCTGCTTCTGTTGATGATGTTGCTAGTGTTCATGCAAGAGCTTACTTGTCAGGGCTTGAGAAGGTAAGGTTGTTTGAATTGGAACCACATGGCAATTCTATATTCTTTGTTGCATAGTTCTGCGCTCTCTCTCTACCTTTTTTACTTGTCTTTTTCTTTTTTAGAATGCTTATCGTTATAAGATATAATTTTTGGAACTTATGGAGAAGAAAGGTTTCCACTTCTTGTTCCTTGGATTATTACATTTGATAATGTCTTGTTGTTGTTGTCCAAGGAAGTTACAGTGCACTCTCTATTATGCGTCATTTGATCTGTTATTGCGCTGCATTCTAATAGATGTCATTTAGTTTGATTATTTTTGGATGACATTTCCTCACTAGACGCATATGCTTCTCTTGATACCAAAGTGTAGGTATGGGGTTAAATTATAGATAAAAAGGCTTATCTCAGCAATTGGTTAATCTGGGAAGAACTTGTAGCTTGTGGTGGGATATCATATCAATGGTATGTGTTATATGTGTGGTTAAGAGAAGTGTATACAAACTATATTAAATTGAAGTTTTTTGCATGTTATGTACATTAACTCTGTATCTTCATCTAAAGTTTGTTTTTTATTTATTTATTTTTCAGGACAAAAAATATCAATATTTTTCTATCAACCATACTTTTGTAGCTGAAGAAACTCCAAATTGATGCTACAAAAACTTGTTCGTTGAATGTTCATGGGCGCCGACTCCTCCTTACTGAACTAGACGTTCACAAGTTATTGGGCATTCCTACCGAAGGCAAAACAATAGAACTAAAAAAATCTTCACAAGCATTTCCCAAGCTATTTGAAGAACTTGGAGTTGTCCAAGGACCTATCAAACTGAATGCTTTGAGAGAGTATTTGACCAAAACAGAGGGAGCTGGAGAGGAATTTATGAGGATATTTGCCCTATACATGTTAGGTGCCTTCTTATGCCCAACCACAAAGGATGTTGTTAAACAATCATTCATTCACCTCATTCAGAATGTGGATGGCATGAAGGATTATAATTGGTCAAAGTTCACTCTTCAATTCTTTGTTCGTGGTTTATGCAAGTACAATTCGAAAAGTCACTCACAACCAAATGGATGCTTATTTCTTATAATGGTATGCTTCTAACCAATTACAAATTGTTTTGTTAGAAATACTTGACTTCAATGCCTTTTTCATTACATAGTACATGTTAAATTAATACATTTTTTTGATGCAGTTGTTTTACTTTGATCGTGTTGCTCCTAGTGGTTGTGATGCTGGTCGTGCTCGTTCGATCCCCTCCTTGGCTTATTGGGGTGATGCAGAAATAAAGGCGACACTGAAACTATTCCAAAATTCAGGAGGTTACCAGAATGAGGAGGTCATCCTTAGCGTATCCCTTCTTTTATGTTTGGTTTTTGTTTGTTATTTTTCATGTTGAAATGGAAAACTAAATTGTTTACGATGTGTCTATAAATAGGTTGATGTTAATTTTGTTGTTGACGAGCCAATGCAACCATTTGTACAAAGTGAGGAAATGAAAAATATGAATGATATTCGGATTTCAAAAATTGAGACGACTGTTTGTGACATGAAAAGTGTTTTGGAAGAACTAGTTGTTATTGTTAAAAGTGGAATAACTAATTCTTCCATTCCGAAGGTCATGGAAAAATGTGAGCCACTGCAAATGTCAAAACAACAGGAAGCGGGGCACGGCCATTGTAAATGTGAACCTGGCATAGTTGCACCTGGAGTTGTGGTAGAATCTACAGTTGTACCTATAGTTGAACATGTCCGCCCTATACTCGTGCCAAAACCTAATGTTGTGGTTGAATCTACGGTTGTACCTACAGTTGAACATGAGAACAATACACTCCCGCCAAAACCTAATGTTGTGGTAGCATTAGAGAACATGGAGGAAAATAGAATCCCGCTCACACCATCCAACTTGCAATTGGATGCCCATCTTCATGAGCAAACCAAACAAGCGAAGAACAAAATCAAGGTAAGATTGAACAACAATCGAAGAAAGAAAATCCCAAAACTCCAACTTATTGATGAATCTAGTTCATCCATTGGTCCATATGGCGGTCCTTGCACTCAACATTCGGATGCCCGGGTGGACATACATTCACCTTTTACAGCCATTGCTGGTAAGAAAAGGAAAGCCACTCAGAAAGTACCAACCAAGACAAAGCTTCATTTAGATGAATCAGATTCATCTCTCGATACAAAGGAGGATAAGTTTGCTCAAGTAAGTCATGTACATAATATATGTGCTATACAATGTTGCTATTCCTATAAATATATTTTAGGATTTTTCATTATTTATTGTTCGTTGTAATTTGTTTTAGAGTTTGAACTTACTTGGAAAACTACTTGCCCTCAATTTTGAAGCATCTGCTACTGCCATTGAGGTTATTACTAATTTCATTATTGTTCTTGATCTCCAATCCCCTTATTTTAATGCACTGCAAGAAGTATGACAATTTATTGTTTATGTGTTCGGTTAAATTCACAAGTCATCGACTACACAAATTGTGAGGCCATGTCCTTTATCTGCTGAGGAACAAATTGTGAAGGCTTATTGTTTCGATAAGGATTTGGAAAGCAGGTAATTTTATTGCGTTTGTATGTTCCTCTCTATCACCAATAAGTGCAACTCTTCAATTTGTACATGATGCAGTGAGGATATTGTGGTCATGGAGTTGTTTTACACGCCGGTTGAATTTGCCACCCGATTCGATTTGTGCTCATTACAACCAAAAACATGGATTTGTGGTTCCGTAAGTGTTCATTTCATGCATCAATATTGCTATGTGAAGTCATTTTTAAGGATATAGGTTTTAAATTATTATTTGATGCATGTATTTCAGATTATTAATTTAGTTGTAGCACAATTGACAAATGCACAAAGGAGGCTCTTCCCCGATAAGTATCATAGGACGTGGTACTTTCCCACATATGTATCGGTGAGTAGTCTAGTGTGTCAAGTTTATGTTTGGTTATTCATGTATACTTATTGATGTATACTTGTGCATTATCAATTATAGCAACATATTATCAATGGGGCGGACCATGCAAAGCTATGTGACAAATATTTTGGGGAGTCTCGATACACTGGGAAGTTTCATGCCTGTCAAGAAGTAATGTGTCAAGCATTCTTCCATTTTACAGGATTATTTTAAATATCCCCTCCATTTTACAAATATTTTTATTATTTATTAAGTTTTTTAGGGAATCAACGTCGTCACTATTTTTTTTTATAAATTTTGTAAACTGGTTGGGCAACGTTGCATGACCCTTTTTTTTATTATTGTCACTCAGATATATATTTCGGTCAACGACCATGAAGAACATTGGTTTTGTGTCAACATAGATATGGCACATCGCGTGGCTTATATATTTGACTCGAGTCCCAGCCTCACAAATGACAAACGTCGTGAATTAATGGCAAGGAAATTGGTAAGTCGTTTATTTTATTTTATTTTTTTAAAGAAAAAAAACAATCAGCACAATCTATCTTACAACAATCATGCATAGGTTCAAACAATGCATTTGTTGTTGCAACAATATTTTGGAGACCTTTATGTTGCAAATGTGAAGGAGTTCGAATTAGAGAGGTTGAAAGACGCTTGTCTCCAACATAAAACCGATAGGTATTCTAAAATTTCTTCATTCGCTATTCAATTTTGGCTTTGTTATTAACATTACACACAAGTTTGACATTCATATGTATGTTGTCATGAAGCTACGACTGTGGTATGTTTGTCATGAAGTATATGCAAGGTGTTGTTATGCTGACCGGCGTACACAAGGTGACTGTTCAATGTTAACCACGTAATTACACTATTGCAATTACAATGTCATATGATGGTATTGTTGATGGAATATTTTTTGTTTTGTTTCCTTAGTTTGATAAACTGGAAAGGTTTAGGCTACTAGTTGACCTAGTGAACGATTCGTCCAACCGCATTTATATTGAGGTTATGAATAGGCTCGAACAATACAAAGAGAGGTGCGTCCCCAAACCATGAACAACTTATGCCCTTCATAAACTCAGCTGATTACTTACTGAATGCAATTTCTTTTGTAACAGGTACTCTAGGCTCTGGAAGGTTACAAGGAAAAAAAAAGTTTGATTGTAAACATGGCTGTTTGAAAGAGATTGATTCGCCTTACCGTACTTTTGCCACTATGCTTATTCACAATTATGAACATATTAGATGGTTGAAGAAACATGGATGACTAAAGTAACCCAGTTTGGTAGTATTTTGTGGACGATTGAAAAAACATATTATTTTTTGGGTTTCAATTTGTATGGAATTTATATTGTTGCTCAAGATTGGGGTGATGACACTATTTGTGATATTTAACTGTACCACATTAATCTTGGTTGTTACATTTACAATCCATCAAAAATTACACACATGTACCAAATGTTAGTAGGGAAACTGTTTTAAAAACTGGAGTACGAGTCCATGCATTGCTACATATATAGTACAAAATAATTTTTGTTGCTTAATCAGTTCATGTCCAACTAAAATTGTGCCATTAGTGTATACTATCATGCACACATTTCAAATGACAAGAGTGTAATAGGACTAGTCCTTGGCAGAGTAACAAAATAACTAATAAATTTTCTAAATTTTACATTTAAGAAAACACACAAAATGAACAATAGAAAAAAAAATTAAATAAAAAATATGAAATAACCTACTAAAATCGCCAATAATTCGTTTCATCTCCCCACTTAGAAGGCGCGCAAAGGTAGTTCTTTGCAAATTTTAAAAATACCAAGAACAATGACAGTATTTGCTACAAAAAAGCAACAGAGGACCTGCATTTCCTTGCTAATAAGCAACACTTAATGTATCCTTCAACGACTTAGAAAGAAAGAACGTCTAAGAAATGTAAGGAATTATAGTTGTTAATCACATTCCGTGCATAAATATCATACTAAGTTTTGGAATCGATGTATCAACTGTGTAGTCAATTGGTATCCATAAATTTCAGCAAGCTATACATACATCGTTGGATTTGAACCAAAAAGAACGTCTAAGAAATCTAAGGAATTATAGTTGTTAATCACATTCCGTGCATAAATATCATACTAAGTTTTGGAATCGATGTATCAATTGTGTAGTCAATTGGTATCCATAAATTTCAACAAGCTATACATACATCGTTGGCATTGAACCAAAAAAAAAAATTAATTGGACATGTCTATCAAAAATGTCGAAGCATCATACTAAATAATATTGTTGACATAAACCATCCAAATGTTGTCCATCACATAAGCCATCCATGAATCCTAACATTGTTTCAATTTTCTTTTCATAATAAATGGGACAAAAAGTAACACTGTTCGCAAAAGTATGGGATGATCAAAGTACCACCACTGGTTGCACAAAAAAGTAACATTGTTTGTAAAAAAAAGTTGACACTTTCTGCACAAAAAAGTAACACTGTATGCAAAAAAAAGTAACAGTGTCAGCTAAATCATTGGCCTTGCAAACTTTGTTCAACCATCATTGTCTGTGTCCATTTGTTGGCTGTCATCATGGTTGGACCCATTAGATTCCTGCTCACTATCATTAGAACTAGTTGAATTCTCAAAATCTTCACCACAAAAGGCTTTCCGCATTTTTTTTAGCTCTAACCTGACCTTCCTCATGTCTTTCTTGTGCTGCAACTCCATCCGGTTCAATATGGACACAACCTCGTACAAACGAGTTGATATGCTCTCCAATGATGTAGGATCTTGTCTTTCACAGTGCTTTCGACTTTGCCCTTGTGTTTTCCCATACGTTCCACGACCTATGTGGCTCATCTTCCCCTTCCATTCATCATCTGGTCGAGTTGGAACACAAAGCTCAAGTAGCATATCAGTCACGAGGAGGCCGAATGGTAATGCTGCATGTGGATTGTTTGCTTTTGCGACAGAATCCACAACTTGCCAAATTATCTTCGGAACATCTAGAGGGCTGAAATTATGGACAGCATACAACATGAGTGCTCGTTCATGGTCAAAAGTAGATTTCACCCCCCTTGGGTCAAGATTGTACCACAAGATAAGATGAAGAACGTCACGGTCAGGCTTAAGGAACTTTACATGATACTTGTCTTGTGGTATGACTCCTTCGATGTACAAATCATCAACAATTTGGGCTTCATTAGGAAGGTCAACACCAGGAAGGTATGGATATTGTGTTTTGTCATCATGTGTTGGTCGTTGAATGTCTAAGAATTTTGATATGCAATCCGCGGAAAACACCACATCTTTCCCCCTCAGTTTTGTTTTCAAAATCAAGTTGTCTGTATCAGTTGGCTTTTGTATGCTGCCAAAGAATTCCCGTACCAGGTTGACATTAGCCTTCCCTTCCCGTTCGATTAGGTTTTGGATATGTAGGTGGCCCACAATTGCTGGAATATCAGTATGAGTTAACTCCTTCAACTTCATAGCCCGCTCTACCGTAATAGCCCGTTTAGCAAAAATACCAAGGTCAACGTGAGGAGCTTCCGCTTTTCCTTTACTCGGTTTTTTGTTGTCTTTTTCCGTGGCATCTTCAATTACCTACGTAATATCCAAACATATTAAAACATATGTACGTCATTGGAGAGATTCAAATTTTAATCATACAATGACAAATGCAAATATACTAAAACCATATTGATTTCAGTCATCAATGTCCACCATTTCTTACCAAGCAAACAGACAATTAAAAAATCTACAAAAGAAAAATAGAGACAGTTCGGTATTATTAACAGTGATTGTTTGTAAAGTAATGGCATGAGCAAGTCTTTATTTTATCAGCAATCAAACAAATTTAGAGTTTATTCACCTTTATTTTTCAAATTAATCTCCAAACTACGAAATTTATTAAGTCAAAAATATTGAAAAATATTAAGTCAAATATTTCAATGGAAGAAACACTCAAGTCAAAATATTAAAACATAGGCAATTTTTGAATTTATAATTAAATTCGAAAAATGTTTTAGGAAAATTCTTCCAAACACAATTCACTTTTTAAGAAACACCTAAAAGTTAATTGTGTTAGTTTCAAATGTGTCTAACACATGTGTAGACATGAGAATATCCAACATTTGTCATGATTCATTAGTCTGCTCAACACCTTTGATTTTTACCCATAATGAGGATTCTGCATCTTCTATGACCTGGGTGAAGGAAAGTAGCCTTGCATATGGATTTGGATCATTACAGTCAAGTTACTGTACTCTCACTTGTTATAAGCAGTTGTAATTTTTACTCTCGACTGCTTCAAAATGAAGATTATTCCATGATTCGGATCTCTTGTGTGAGCAAATAGCCAAATAAGCTCAAGTCCTAATTTGACTGCGTCAACAGGCTCAAGTCCAAAATTTTCTTAGATGCTTTTAGTTTTAAGGAAGTACATTTGCAAAGTTGGTTTAATGCTACACTATTGTTTGAATGACAACTTGGGTTCATGTTACTAATTTTTTTGTTGGATTATGAAGTTGTTTATATTTTGGCAATGCACATCTCCATCATCTCTTATTATACCTATACATCGATACCATACCATTCCACCATAAGCATAGTTATGTGTCACCTAACAGCAATGTCCACCATTTCTTACCAAGCAAACAGACAATTAAAAAAATCTACAAAAGAAAAATAGAGACAGTTCGGTATTATTAACAGTGATTGTTTGTAAAGTAATGGCATGAGCAAGTCCCTATTTTATCAGCAATCAAACAAATTTGGAATTTTTTCACCTTTATTTTTAAAATTATTCTCCAAACTACGAAATTTATTAAGAATGCCTAAGATTAAAACAACTAAGACATTAACAAAACATAACTACTAGCCACTAATGTCTCCTTGTAAAAACAATGTTTCGATCACTGTAAGCCTCATCATGAAAGTCAACTACACTGGATCATTTGGATAAATTGGCAATTCATCGATATCATCCGTGTGGGGATCCAACTCTGTGTTCATGAATGGTTCACTGTCTGAGTTGCTACCCTCTCTCTGGCTACTTGAAGCCAATTTTTTACACGTCCGCTTCGTGTGTCCGATGCTCCTACAGTAGCAAATAATGCATAAACAATTTTAATAATCATATGCATGTAACAGGATATAAAAAGGTCATACAATGAAAGTACCATACCTACAATACCCACACCGCCTTGGTTTTGGAGGTTTACCCATAGAAGATGTCCCTCCGGGGTTCCCTTTGGTCTTCACTACATTCGGATCACCAACGCCATATAGTTTGGGTGCAACATTTTTGTCCCCAGCCTCGGCGTTACCTTCTTTTCTCATTGCCCAACGTTTTTTCATCTACGATATCAGCTGGAAAGCTATTTCCCTTGCCTTTTCAAAATCTTTGTCCGCGTGTGAGGCATAATATGACATTTCACTAAAACAGGAGCTGAGTATACCAAACCGAGCTGTCTGTGTTAGGGTGCTACAAATTTGGGTAAGACTTGGTTGTTAACACTTTGACCTACCACGTCTTGTCCATCTCTGCAAGACACAACTCGGTGGAATACACATTAATTGTTCAGATTTCATAACAGCAATCATGTGGCAGCAAGGGATGCCAAACGACTCAAACTTCAAGCAACAACATTTCATTGTGATATTAGCTGGAAAATACTCAACCGTCCACGTGCATGTTGGTGCCTTGTACTCACCAAAACGGTAGGTGCGATGATCCTCTAGCTGAACTCTTTCCATCATAAACAATTTACCCTCTTTCCTGATTTCATGTTGAAACAATGAGAAAATCTTCCGAGTAAAGAGTTCAGCTGCATGTTTCTCCAAACTCCTCAATGGCGTAGTCAAAACCGGGAAACTATTCTCTGTTTTAGATTCTGTTTCTGCCTCATTAACACGCATTCTAGCAAGAGCCCTATCATACTGCGCTACAAATTCATACAACCTAACCTTTTGGTTTAGGAATATATTGAAATATGCATTCATACCCTCTACACGTTGAGTGCTCCTCATTCCAGCAAACATGTGACCATAGAGATATGCCTCAGCCCAATTATCACGCTTCAGATGAATATCCAACACCCAGTTATTGTTCTCCAACTTGTACTGTTTCACCATAACAGCCCAGGCATTGTCAAACTCATCAATTTTACATTTCTTTAACATCAACTGTGCAAAATCAGCTGTAAATTCTGGAATGTGGACATTTGTTGAGGCATTTTTCTCTAGATGCCAAGAACATAAACGATGTCTGCAGTTTGGAATAACTCTTTTGATTGCCTGACGCATTGCCCTATCACCATCTGTTACAACGGAGATGGGTCTTTTACCATCCATGGCCTCCATTAACATTTCCAGCACCCACGTGTATGTCTCCATTGTCTCATCAGGTAACAAAGCACATCTGAATATAGTTGTCATGAAATGGTTACTCACGCCAGCTAGAATTACAAATGGCTTCTTATATGCATTTGTACGATAAGTAGTATCAAATACCAATACATCACCAAATGCAGCATAATCCATTCGAGACCTATAATCTGCCCAAAAAATCTTGTCCAACCGGTTGTCCTTATCGACGTTGTATTTGAAAAAAAATAATGGATCTGCATCTAATTTAGCTGACAAGTATCCTAACGCACCCTCTGCATCCCCTTCTGCGATTTGTACTTTGCGCTCATCTTGGAATTGATTGTGCAAATCTCTGTGAATGAAGCCCACCTTCTCATAACCCCCTGACTGATGGACCATAAAATCCATGATCTGACTCGTTTTCATACCCACATTGCACATGGCCTTTGCTTGAGCTTGGTCTGCACTTGTTACAAACCTATGCGACCAAAGAAAAGGGACGCAGTGTGGTGCTGCCAACGGATGGTTGTGTTCCCCTACAAAGTGGGTCACAACATATTTCCTAGCTGTCTTGTCATAACGCACACGAAATGTGGCATTACAAAAAAGTCTAGTTTCTGCCCTAGGAGTTCTTACCCGTTCCACACGTTGCAAGTATTTCTTTTCTCTTACACCTTCCCTTGAACAAACCCATTTCCTACTCTCTACAAATTTGTTGTCTCCAGTAATTCTTTTTCTACTTCTTCGTACGCTAAAACCGATGACCTTAGCGTATGCATTGTAGAAAGTATAAGCATCATCCTCTGAATTGAATTTCATTTGCAACACATCTTCCTTAGTAAGCATTCGTAAACTATCATAGGTTTGGGAAGCTAACCCTTCTTTCACATCAACAACATCATCCTTGCCATCTAGAGCAAATTGATCATCAATTTCAGTATTGACCTCTTCAGGCCTACTACTTTCAGGTTCATCCATCGTATATACACTAAACCATACCCCAAAAAATGTTAAAAAGCATCAAAATATTGGATAACTTATTCATGGGCCAATGCTTATTTCAAGGAACAAGCTGGCCAATTCTCCTACAAAAAACCATTGGAATCAATCATAAAAAAATAAAGAAACTAACCCAAAAATAAAAAAAGAAAATAAAAAGTTAGCAAATTATAATCATTGCCAATCCCTCCGCAGTTTTTACTATACAATATTAATCTACAAGTTTATGTTTCAGAAATAAGCTACAACACAAGTTCTGAATAAGTCTAGGCATCAGTAGAACCTCATGTTGATGTAGGCAAGCTTCAAATCTTCTCATATTTCTGTAGTTCCAGAAAGCCAGATGAACCAAGCCCAATATCTTCACTTTCTAGTGCTTGAATACCTATGCCCAAAAATTTTCCCAAAGGTGCTCCAACTTTGCTGGAGGACAGCAATATCAGAACCAATAAATCTGGAAATGAAATGACAAGAGCGGAAGTCTAAACTCTGTTAGACTGAAACTACATAAGCCAGACTAACCTGCCAAGGCCATTTTCTCCAATAGATAGAGAATCCAGTGGCCTCTTTAAAGTTGAAAGAACACCTACAAGTTGACTCACTCCATTACATGAAGGCTCGCAATTTTCCACTTTCAAATCAGCAAAGTGAGAGTCCCTTTCAGACATCTCAACAAAGTAGGGGATTAAACTCCTGAAAAGTCTGGAACAAGTTGTAAGACTGACTGAACTGGACAAAACCTTGTCCCAACTCAACAACAAATAAATTCAAATAAATAAATAAGCACACTAGCCAGTGCCCTGCTATCAATTCAAAACAAATAAATTAAAAAACACAAAAGCAATTACCCTACTATTAATTAAAATGAAACAAATAACTAAAGTAGCACACCCGCCAGTGCCCTGCTATTAATTAAAAGTAAATAAATTAAAAGCAGACCTGCTAATGCAACCGCTACGGAGGAAGGAATGGAGGAGGTATAGGTTTACTTCTACGTTAAGATGGAGAAATTGAGAACCTATGACAAACAAAAACAAAACATCGAAATAGAGTTAGTAAAGAAGACAATACTTAAGGAAAGTAATGATTATGGCGAGAAAAGAAAGAATCTATCTACGAAAAATATTATTTTGCACATCTTTTTACCTTAACAAACTGCATAAGCAATAACAGAGATAAAAGTCTACTACCTTTGTTCAAAGTATGAATAACCATTACACAAATAAACATTTACACAAATGTACCACAACCAACCGTTTGACCACTTCAAACAAAAATTAAATAAAAATATCCACAAAAAAGGATTATTTGATTGGATGAACTATTGGATTATTTGGTAGATCATTTTTTGGTTAATTTCCTAGTATTTCCTATGTCACAGGTGAAGCTGAGTAACTTCTAAATCAATGGACTATTGGATTGTTTTTCTGAAAACTTCGTATCCGGCCTATAGAACTAATGGACTACTGGATTTGGATTATTGTTATTGGATTTTGTAATCTTGATAGAACCTTAATGGTGTTGAAGTTCATATTCACTGATTGGCGTGAATATTTATTCTCACAACTTTCACCATCTAATATTCACAAACAAGAAAGGATAAGCTTTGTACATCTTGGAGATTTTGCATGATAGAAGATAAGTTGGAAGTCTTTGTCAAAGAACAAGGTGAACGAATATAACAAAAATTGAATTCGAATTTGAATTTTAATATACAATCTTCACCACCACAATTACAAGCTTGCTTTTCTACCCAAGATAAACTATAAAAGCCGACCCCAGTAGTTTAGCGGTATAGGGTTAGACCCTGTGATGAATTGTAAACCTAGACATCTTAGTTTGACTCTCATTAGTGTCTCTCGGGCTTAACCCATACCTGTGGTTTACCAATGATTGCAGGTATCAAAAGTTCACTCCATAAGGGTGGGTCAAATGTGGCCCTGCCTTTCAATTGCGTTGTCTAAATCTTACTGCTGAAAAAATGGACCATCAAATACCTTAAAAATGGTTAAATAAGCTGCATGGGATATAACACAGAACTATTTTTTTTTTTATTTTCTCACTTTTTATACAGATTTAAACTTTATATAATTTGAATCATACTCAATAAATTTAATCCGTATATTTTAAATTTTTTTTTCCCCTTACTGAATATAACATTGATGGGATCCAATGTCGTTGATGAGGGAGGATATTTCATGAACAAGAAATGATTTTGGGATGCATTAGGATCCACGTATGGTTTCACCAAAAAGAGCTACCAAGTGCACAAACCCTTTGGTGGTTTTGCACTCAATACCACCAAAGATATTGGCATACCTGGAGAGCCATATGAAAAACGCAATATTTATCACAGCTAAGAGTGAAACCCACATGCATTTGAGTTCAAATGTCTTTAACTTTTTTTAGTGTTGTGTCTGGTCTTAATTGATAGACATAATTTATGGATGACTACGAGTATTTAGAAGTTTATTGTACATGATAGATTCAATACAACCCTACTTGGAACAAAAATTAATTACAACGGTGATACCATCCGACCAATAAAATATCGTAAATGAAATTTGTTTGATATTTTTTGTCTTTCCTAATCCAATCATGTTGTCCCTACTAATATTAGCCCTCCCTTTTGTTTCTGGCTATTGTTGTGTTGTTTTTGTTCAATGAAAATTAATTTACCAAAAATAAAAAGAAAAAGCACAAACTGTCCTGATAGCTTTATTAACTAAGAGAACATGTTAATGTTAACATTAATCCTTAAGGAAAACCATCATTAAATTCTATAAAGACATGGTTATTATGGGTCCACCATGTTCTTATTTCTATCCAGGCAAACATGGCTTTAACAAAATTTACACCCCAAAAAGCAAATCAAAGAGGAAATGAACCAAACAAAGCTAAGTAAGAAAGAGCATTCAAGAAAATCACCCTTCACAAAAAAATAACAAATAAATCAACATCAAAATCAAAATCAAATTCAAAATAAAATTAAAATCACCAGTGATAACAACAAGGTTTAATGGCTAGAATGAACATTGAGATATAGTTAGCTAGGCTGCTTTCATGGAGGAGCATTTCTTAACTATCCAGGCAAAATAAGTTTTCTTTTTATTCTACACTTGTTCAGTATAGTTTTTGCATTTTTTTTAATTTTATTTTTTCTATTTTCATTTTTGTCTCTTTATAAACAAAATAATAAAAGGTTTGTTGTAGGTTATTTTATCCAATTTGTGGTTATGACCTATTGGCGATGGTTACGACTCAATTAATGGGCTTACTAGTTCTGACCTGATTCTTGTTTCATTCAATCATAATATATATTATGAGTTATTTTGAGGATTAGGGTTATGAGATTAAACAGAAGTTTTGCTACAAAAATGACTTTTGATAGAAACAGTCGGTCATTATAATTTCTCTTCTTTTGATAGTTAAACCCTTTGTCGTTTTTTGCTCGTGGATGTAGGCTTTTAGACAAACCACTCGTATGTTTGTATTCTTGTGTGATTCCGCTGTGTTACTTTGTTTTCGTTTGTTCCGTCATGACAAAGTTCAAAAACTTGTGATAGCGGTTTTCAAAAATGAATATATGATATTTCTAAACATTTTGTTTTCAGAAAAAGTTTGCCAAACTAGTTTTCTACTTTTTCTTTCCCCAAAAAATTTGAAAACAAACCAAACATATCCATGAGCAGTGACTGAGCATGGTATTGTTGTGACAACAAAAAGCACAAACCTACCCTTCTCCCTTAAAGATTGAATTCTAGCATTCCTAACCTAAGAAACATCACTCAAGCATTTCAACATTTAATCATGGGATTGGATGTAAAGTGAAGAAAAGGAACAAGGAGAAGCTTGGACTATTAAAGAAAATGTAAGCACAGAATGAACAAATTTTATCACTTCTCTTCTCTACTCTAATAACTAGTGTATGTATGCATTCTCTCTCTGTCTCTGTCTCTGTCTCTCTCTTACACCCACTTATTCACCCACACTCTATAACATATGATACTATGTAGTTTATTTGAGCAGGATAAGTAAATAAAGGTATTGCCCAAAAATTATACTTCACAAGGCTAGGCTACAACAAATATAAATAAGGCTGAGATATTTTCTTAACATTCAACTTGGAGCAAACGTGTCTATCATGCCCAACTGTACATGGTCTTAATTTTGGTTACTCTCTGAATAGGATATCAGTAATTGAATTAGTGTACCTCTATAAGTTTGGGGTGTTAGTGCTTTGTGGGTTTCTAAGTAATGGTGCTAGCAGGTTTATTGTTACTGTCCATGCTTAGATACAACTTGAAAGTTTAATTTTGTTCTTTAGACTTATTGAACACAGAGAAATTTGAATTTTTTGAAGTGCGGTCTAGCATGTAAGTACGTCAAACATATGAATACATGTATATGTTTTGCTATAGACATTTGTATATCATAGGTGTGAGTTATTTGGTTATATTTGTTCTTAGATGTAGTCATATTTTCTACATCTCCCTTCACCTTTGGTTTCTTGGTTTTCACAAATCTTTCCTTGCTTATGTTCAACACTAGAATGCTTCACACTGAGATTATGTTCCACACGTCTACGAGTGCTACGATCGAATATATTATGGTACCCTCTTTTATGTTTCAATAACAGTGCCACAGCATCTTCTGCCCTGATTTCATTTCCAACTGATGAAATTGTCGACTATTCAGAAGCATTGGTTTCACTGAGCTCAGACCCCAAAGATCTGTTTTTCAGTGTTAAAAAGTAGTCACTTATCCAATTCAAGACCGAATTAGATGTGTTCTTGGCTGCCAATACTAAAGAAGAAGTTTGTGATTTCAAGGTTAAGGGAAGTTGGCTTGAGAGAACAACTAAAACAGCAGCACTCAAATACACAACCTGATCTGATTCAGATTGGAAACAAAATCTTGGATGGAATATATGTTAGTTGGTCATCATCTGTGTTAGTTGTTCTGTTCTGCTGTGTTGTCATCATCTGTGTTGTGTTCTGTTCTGCTGGTTGTTCTGTTCTGCTGTGTTGTTCTGTTCTGTTGGTGACATTCGAGCAATGAGTTCTATTCTGTTGGTATTGAGTTCTATTCTGTTCTGGTAGGCTAAATGCTGGTTAAGGCGTGTTCATGGTTTTGGTTTTGGTCTGCTGTAATTGAAGTCTTGTTGAAGTCTGTTGAAGTCTTTTGTATGCTGCTGTTCTGTTATATGCTGTTGTCCTATGGCAACATACAACAGATGTTGTATGACTCACAGTATGTGATCATCTGTGATGCATATTGCTGTCCTATGGCAGCATACAGCAGCTGCTGGTATTGAGGTTCTGTGTTGGGTGCGACATGTTCTGTTTCTACCTTGGGTGCTGTTGGGTGCAATATATGGCTACCTTGGGTGTATGATTATAGAAGACATGGATACATCAGCTGCTGGTGTAAGGGTGTTACCTTGGGTGCAGTATTTGGATACATCATCAGCTCACATAGTTTAGGTTTAAAAGAATGTTTGCAGGTTTGAGGTCTCAATGCAGTAGAGGCTGTGGCTTTGTTCGGTGAAGAAAAAGAAGAGCAGTGGTGACCTCAGCAGATATTCTGAAGCGTGTTTTCCATGGCAATGGAGGAGAGTTCTTTTTCGGGAAGAGCCTATCTTCTAAGCTGCCATTTTCCATGTATTCATAAACAAGGCATCCATACTCAGGGCAGGCACCCAGAAGAAGAACCATGTTTGGATGTCTTATGTAGCTTAGTACCTCAACCTGCATGGTGAGAACAATAATAGAAAGTTAGATGCTTAAGTTGGTGTTTGGACACAGACAGACATAATTAGCTTATTTAAAGCTGCAACCTTCATATATGGTGTTTGTTCAGGATAGTTTTCTACATGATCCGAGTATACATCTACAAATTGACAACAGAAACAAGGAATACATTATACCTTTTGTTGAAATTGTTTATTCCCTTGTGACATTTCCGACCTTAGAACCTTAATGGGAGAACTTTGACAATAACCTTTCACCCTACAAAAGGTCATGCCTTAATTAATGCTATTGAAATCCATGAGGTTATTACGGCAGAGTCTAAAACTTTGCCAGATGAAGATAAATATTCATTCCTTAATTTTCAAATGTTTCAGATTTTGTTTTACTGTTTGACTTTGATGAGGTTGCTAGATTCATGTTTATTTAAAGAGTAATGATATACAAATAAAAAATTTACTCACAACATCTATACATAATTATTTGTCAAATTTATATTCATCCATTTTGAATCAAAAGACCCAAAAAAGTGACATTATTTCGAAACTGCCATCGAAACGTGATGATGCCTTACGATTTGTACCCTGTGATAATGTTGAAACTACCTCCCTAAGAAACTCTACCGCTTGGTTTCTAGAGGAAAATTTTGATATTAAACAAGGGTATCAAAAAAATGTTTTTTTTTTTTCGGATAAATAATAAATGACGGTATCAATATTGTTAAGAAAGTTTTTTTTAAAAAAAAAAAACCCTAAATTAAATGTCTACAACTGTCTTCATACTGGAGCATATAGTGGAGATGGAGAAAAGAAGTTTAAAGAACAAATAGAACAAGAAGTTTAAAACCAATTCGAAGAAGTTGATCATTTGTTTGAAGTGATTGGAACCATGCATGGATTGTGTGTCAATCTAAAAGAACAAAAATGGAGGTATAAAGGAGATAACCACTTGCAGGAGTTTCTTCTTCAACCCAATAGATAAAAGAGCAAGTAAAATAAGTCTCCAACTCTAAATTTCTTCTGGCGGGTTAAAATTTGTCCAATTTTTTTGTATTTAAAATAAAATATTGTTAACTCAATATTTTCTTATTTTTTTTACATTTGATTAGTTAGTTTATAGTTCGGTTAAAAAAATTATTAGCTTTATGAGTTTATCTATACAAGTGGTTTGGTTGTGATAAACAGAACAGATCTGGTATTATGATACTTTTGATAGACATTAGACAATGTTAAAAACCACTCCACAATAGCCTAAGTACCCATAAGAACCAAGTAATGAAATCATTACAAAATTAGTTTTTTTAACTCATGTGCCCAATTCCCACACCACAACAGAAAAATTCTCTGTATGTTTTCTCTTCAAGTATGATAAACTGTCTATCTATATTAATATAGTTAGATAAAGGCACATATAATGTTAAAATCTTCCACATTACCCATGAGAAAATGAAAAAAGATGGAAGCTGCAATGTAGTATTCTAAGAAATAGAAATACGAGAAAGAGCAACAGAACACTGATAATTACTCATGAAAATATAAAATGTGAGAAAGGAATTGCGGTCTAGGTTTTCATAGACCAACCCAAGGATTGCGGTCTAGGTATTGTCCTATTTTTATAAACCAACCCAATCAGTTCACAAACGTGAAAGGGGCAGTTCAAAGAAAGTGATTGTGGTCTAGGGTTTCATAGAATGGATATGGAGAAAGGGGGAGAGAAAAAAGCTGCAGAGAGAGAGAGAGAGAGAGAGAGAGAGAGAGAGACATACCTTCAGGCGAAGTCGAGGGTAGGTCTTCTTCGCAGGGATGGTCTTCGAGGGATGGTCTTCGAGGTCAAAGAAGAACGTCTGCGTGCTGTCTCAAAAACAGGGGCTTTGGGGGAAAAAAACTGAAGAAATTTGAAAAAAGGTCACCACCGGTTGAACAGGTTATGAATATTCCTAATTAAATTAATCGGTGGCTGAGATTAATTTATAAAAATCTGATGGTTTAAAATAGATGTGTATATGATGTGCACATCTTATTGAGGTGCACATCTTAACAGCTCCCAAAAAGAAAAATAAAAATAGATGGATATCGTGTACAGCCGTCAGTGCACACGATACTATAGGCTGCCACCGCCTAACTGATGACGCAACTAGTCACTCTAGTTGTTTTGGGAGTTTACTTAGAGGATTTACTTCAGGTAAAGATTCATGTCTAGGACCTTTAGGAAATGTACTATCAGCAAAAGTAACCTAGAGATGCAAATCTATTTAAGTTTCAAGTCATAAATCACAATATATAGAGTTTTTTTTTTTTTGGTCATCTTTTTTTCTTTACAATTTTACACCAAATGTAAACAAATTTAACTTCAGTTTTTCAAGATGCTTCTCATGGAGTAGAGGAGTACGGTACAGCTTACATATGTCGTGCGGTAGCAAGAACAATGTTTGCCTTTAAAATAAAACCACATAGACCCCATGGGGTTCCAAGCTCTGTGAAAATTAGGTGTATGTTTCTCTTCAGGTAGGTCCATGAACAAGCACCACTAGAACACTAATATACAACCCTACTATCTTAATTTCAAAATCTAATGTTCCTACAACACTCTCTCTCTCTCTCTCTATATATATATTATATAGGCATTTTATAGCTTAACCACTACACTACCTAATTTTGGGTTATTGTATACCTGGTATGTAGCTTCATTTAATAATTATAACAACGACAACAATAGATCCACGTGGCTTTCTGGATGTCATTTTGAAAGAAAAAACAAACCAACAATGGGAGATCAGGCCAACATGGATGTAAAAAGGGACACATGCATATGTGCTGGTGGTCAACATGGATGTGTAGAATCTGACATAATGACCTCTAACAAAACTAAATGTAGTATAGTTAAGGGAAATGTAGAAATTTCCTTCTCATTTAGCTTTGTATCTTTGAGTGCTATTTTTTTTTTTTTTTGTGGTGTGTGTGTGTGTGTTTTGTTTTTGGTAGTTTATGGTTGCTCACTTGATCCTTTTTCCTTTTTCTTTGTTTTGTGTGTGTGGACAGATCATGTGATGTATAATGTGTTGTCTACATTCAAAATATAGTGATATTTTTATTGGTCATGTTTTGTTAGTCATTGTCCCACACTGATCAATTTGTTTTTTTGCCTAGAGTTATACACTGAACATCACAACATTGCAAGGTTTTGAAACTTTTATGTCAAGTCTTAAAAACAAAACATTTTGCCCAAGCAAACAAGGAATTGGAGTGGATCTTGTATTAAGCTGTGTGGATAACTATGAAGCAAGGATGGTTGTAAATCAGGTAATGCTATAACAGGCAGTATTTAATCTTTTGATAGCTGTGATTTAGCCATTTGGTTAATAGTTTATTATATTAATGAGGGAGTAATCTTGCTATGTTGTTTGAAATTTAAGAATAAAATATTTAGCTAATTTAGTTGTTATTTTACAGGCTTGCATCGAATTGAATCAGACATGGATGGAGTCTGGTAAGAAACATTTTTTAAAAAAAATCCGTGAGGGAACTTGTTTGATCTTGTTGTGCAAAAATCAGTTGAATATGCTGGCATGTAGTGAAAAGGTTAGAATTGTATTTGTTACTCAGATGGATTGGGACGGTATCTTTTTCTTCCTTGGAATATCATCCAGTATAGTTGTATTCTGACAGGTGTCTTGCAGTCTATGTTAGGTTAGACAAATTGGTACAGTGAATTAATGCTTGAAAATTTGTTTTCTATATTTCATTGGCTATCAGCTCAGGTGAGATACTATATATGGTTTGACAAAAATAGTGGTGTAGCATGTTGATGTGGAATAACATGACAGGAGAAAATTGGAATTTTACTTGAGAATTTTATTGATGTATTGAAATGAACTGTGAACCCAATTAAGTTACACTTACACTTTATAATTCCCTTCCAACTTAACGGGATTTAGATTCTCAATCTTAATTAAGTTACACTTACACTTTATAATAAGCACTTAATGGTTATGCATTAATTCATGTGGGATTTGATGCTATGGTAGTTAAATTTTTATTTTTGTATTTGATTGAGATGTTTAATTATCCATGTGGGATTTGATGACTAACAAAAAAAATGTTGTATTTGATGTTATAGTAGTTAAATTTTTATGTTTTTTTGTAATTAACATTTAACACATAATTATATTGTCATTAATTATTTTTATTTTTATTTTTCAGATATTTCCCATATAGGAGTGTGCTTCTTGTGGAATGTATGCCTGTGGAGAATGTGGCTAATTTTTGTTTTTGTTATTGTTATCTACGAAGAATGATGAGAAAAACATTTAATTTTGGTTTATGTTATTTTGAATTATGAACAAAATCATGTATGTAAACATTATATATGTATTATTGAACATTATGTAGTGGGATAATTTTGTTGATGTGTAATTATTAATGGAACAATATTTTATCATGGAGAAATTGTTATTTTTATACAGGAATTTTTATATTATTATGCAATTATTATGTAGAAATTTTAATATTTTTAATAATTTTATTGCAGGATGTTTTTTTCTTTTTTGTGACGGCACTACACCGTCGCAAAAAACAGAAAATTTTAATATTTTTATTGATTTTGTTATAGGTTTTACTTTTTGCAACGGTACTAAACTGTCACAAAAAATAGAAATTTTATTATTTAAAATAGAAATTTTATTATTTTTTTAATATTTTTTACGACGGCAGTACACTGTCACAAAAATAGAAATTTTCACATTTTTAATACTTTTTGCGACGGCATCACACTGTCACAAAAATAGTGTTCTTGTCGTTGCAAAAAAAAGACTATTAGCGGTGGCATTTTTGGATGTCTCAAATAATATTTTTAGCGACGGTAAAATAGTGCCGTCGCAAAAAATCAAGAAATTTCAAACATTATCAGCAACTGTAAAGTGTCGTCGCAAAAGGCAACAATGCCGTCGCAAAACATGAATGCCGTCACAAAAACTCTTTTGCAACGCTCCCAGTTGTGACCTCCCTCTTGCCGTCGCAAAAAGTCATTTGCCGTCGCAAAAAGTTTTTTGCGACGGCATTAGGAGTATTAGCGACGGCATTTTACCGTCGCAAAAAGCTGAAATTTTAGTAGTGCATC